AGGCCAGCCTGGGCTACCAAGTGAGCTCCAGGAAAGGTGCAAAGCTCGCAGAGAAACCCTGTCTCGAAAAACCAAAAAACCAAAAAAAAAAAAATAAAAAATAAAATGAATGAATGAATGAATAAATAAATAAATAAATAAATAAATAAATAAATAAATAAATAAAAAAGAAATTTCTCGGACAGAAGTGGTGATGCACATTTGAAATCCCAGTGCCCCTGAAGCAGAAGATCAGTGGTTCAAGATCATCCTTGACTTATAGAGAGTTTCAGGCAAACTTGGCTTACATGAGGTCTGTCGCAAACAAAACCTGGCCGTAGCCTCCTTTGCTGGATACTGCTGAAATGGAATCAAGTCAAGGAAAACAACATACCTCTGAGAAGCTCCTGGCACATGGTGCAGCTGTTCATCTTCTCTAAACAATGACATTCTGTCTTGGGACTCTTAAAAAACCTCGTGATGATTGTTCCAAACTCTTAGGACACCAGACATTTCCTTCCTCTTTAAACCTCCTCTTCTTCTTTTTTTTCCCAGGCATGGTGGGGGAAGGGGGACAAGAAGGAGCACTTTAGATGGATCAAAATCTTGCCTGATGTGTATTGCAAAAAAAAACAGGGAGATTTCACCTTCTGCCAACCATACATCCCCCCACCCTGAGTTTATTCCTGTGTGGTCTCATTTGGGGATGTTCAGCTGGAGTAAGCCCTGGTGTTGGGAACCATCCTGCCCTGAACCTAGAGCTGTACCTCGAGGTCCCAGTGGTGGTTAGATCATGGGATCAGGATGTCTGACTCTGCTTCCTGACCTTTGACTCATCAGCCCACCACAGGTTTTGTTGCCTAATGGATGCGACTCCTCTGGTTATTCTGTATTGACTTCATTTGGGGGGATACAATTTTATTTTTCTCCTAAAACTGTGGCCAAGAGAAGCTTGTGAGACTTAGTTTGCTTTTTGTTGCTCTGATAAAACACTAGGGAGAAGGGACTCGGGGGTGGTATTTCGTCTTACAGGTTACAGAACCCCAGGGCAAGAAACTCAAAGGCAGGGACCTAGAGGTAGGACCTGAAGCAGAGACTATGAAGGAGTATTTGGCATAGTTGTTCAGTCAGCTTTCTTATATAGGCCAGGCCCACTTGCCCAGGAATGGCACTGCCCATGGTGGACTTCATCAATTAGCAATCAAGAAAATATTCCACAGACATGTGTATAGGCCAATCTAAAGGGAAGAAATTCCTCAATTAGGATTCCCTCTTCCCAGGTATGTCTAGGTTTGTGTCAGATTGATGAAAGCCAACCAGCACAAAGATAAGTCCACAAGTCACACTGTCAAGAAGTGGTGTGAGAGGGGGAGAATCAGTCTTCTCCAGGGGTGAGTCCCCTGAGAGGTTGTCTAATTTCAAGTGGTCAGTCCTAAACACACTTACGTATGAGCAACATTAAATAGATGGACAGATTTTATATGTGTGGTGGTTTGAATAAAATGGACCCCATAGGCTCATACATTTGAATGCTTAGTCATCAGGGAGTGACACCACTTGAGGATTAGGTGTGGCCTTGTTGGATGAAGTGTGTCACACAGGGTAGGATTTGTGGTTTCAAAAGCTCAAGCCAGGCACTGTGTCTCACTCTTCCTGCTGCCGGTGGATCCAGATATAGAACTCTCAGCTCCTTCTCCAGCATCATATCTTCTGGCACGCAGCCATGCTTCCTGCCATGCTGATAATGGACGAAACCTCTGAAACTGTAAGCAAGCCCCAGTTAAATGCTTTCCTTTATAAGGGTTGCCATGGTCATAGTATCTCTTCACAGCAATAGGGCACTGACTAAGACAACGTGTATATTTAAAACAATGAAGAAGTCATGGATCTGAGAAGGAATGGGGCTCACACAGGAGGAGGTGGAAATGATGTAAATACAGTACTCATGCATGAAGTTCTAAAAAAATAGTGGCTCAGTGGTTAAGAGCACTGGCAGCTCTTCCAGAGGACCCAGATTTAATTCCCAGCACCCACGTGGTGGCTCACAACAATCTGTAACTCTAGTCCCAGGAGATCAGAAACCGTCTTCTGACCTCTTCGGGCACCAGCACACTCATGATGCACAGATATACATGCAGGCAAAACACTCACATACATAAAATAAAAAATAGATAGTGATAATGATAATAATGCATAAAATAGAACCGATGGATCACATTCTAGTTGTAATTATTTGAGAAAATGCCATGCTGTTTTCCATAACGGCTTTACCTTTTCTCATTTCCACTACTATACACAAGGCACTGTAGACATTGCCTCTGAATCCTCACCAATAGTCATTATTTACTGTCATTTAAAAATTTTATGGCAGCCATCATTATAGCTCTGATATGACATCTCAGTACAGTTTTGATTTTCAGTTCCCTGGTGATCAGTGATAGTGAGATTAAATCCTGTGCTTTATTTATTTGTTTGTTTGTTTTCAATACAGGGTTTCTCTGTGTATCCCTGACTGTCCTGGAACTTGCTCTATAGACCAGGCTGGCCTTGAACTCATAAGAGATCCTCCTGCCTCTGCCTCCCAAGTGCTAGGATCAAAGGCATGTGCCACTATACCCAGCAGGAAATCCTGTGTTTTATGTATCAAATATTTACTTCTAAGACCAGAATTCTATTTCAAAACCTGGGAGAAAGTGAACATATAATTGATGTTCTAATTATAACAGAGTTCCTCCTCAGGGTTTTCAGCTCATTTGGTCTCTTATTACTATATATGAATCAGTAGAAATGAGCAGTGCTTGATGGCTCTGATGAGTCACTGTACCTGCCACAGTCATGTATTCCCTTATTTCTAAGTGAGATGAAAGCCTTGGGAGGAAATGACAGATCTGACCTAAAGCCTTCCTCTGGCAGTTGGGCTGGGAGGAGATGTCTTAAGCTATTTTTCTAGTACCGTGAGACGATACCATGACCAAGGCAACTTATAGAAGAAAACGTTGATTTGTGGCTTACTGTTTCAGAGGCTTAGATCCATGCCTGTCATGACAGGGAGCATGGCAGCAGGCAGGAAGGAATGGTACTGGAGCAGTAGTTTAGAGCTGACATCTCGAGATGTGACCACAAAGCAGAGATGGAGAGAGACACTGGGAATGCTCCAGTTTTTTGAAACTTCAAAGCCTACCTCCAGTGACACACATCTTCCAACAAGGTCACCCCTCCTAATCTTTCCCAAAACAGTTCTAACAACTGAGAACCAAGTAGTCAAACGTAAGAGTCTATGGGAGGTCATTCTCATTCAAACCACCACAGTACACTAGAGGGGAGCATTATGGGTACAAATGGACAACAGTGATGTCAGCTTGCTTGGACCTTAGGGGAACAGTGGTAGTAGCAAGTTGGAAGCTTCTTAACATAGTTCAAAGGCAGAGCCATCTTGCTTCATGTTGGATTGAAACTGTAATATGGACAGGAGGACAGAGCATTTCAAAGACAGTCGTATTTTTGCTAAATTAAAGAAACAGACATGTCTCTCTCTATTTGTGTGTGAGGTGGGGGATCTTGCAGGAGTCAGTTTTCTCCTTCCACTAGGAACTGAAGCAGTACCTGCCTTTGCCTGCTGAGCCTTGCCTGCCAAGCCATCTCACCAGCTTTCTAGCCTAGGCTGGTTGCAAACTGCTTATGTAGCCAAGGAAGACCTTCAACTTCTGGTCCTCCAGCTCTCCACCTCTTAAGCGCTGAGTGTACCACCGCAACAAGTTTATGCAATTGGTTGTTTCAAATCAATTCTTCTTTCATTTAATTTTTATTTGAATTAATTAATTAATAAATCAATTAATTAATTTTGTTTTGTTTTTCGAGACAGGGTTTCTCTGCATAGCCCTGGCTGTCTTGGAACTCGCTCTGTAGACCAGGCTGGCCTCAAACTCAGAAAGATCTGCCTGCCTCTGCCTCCTGAGCACTGGGATTAAAGGAATGCACCACCATGCTTGGTCTATTTCTTGATATATAATCAAATGTGTTTAAAATATAGACTTGAATAGATATTTATGTACCCATGCTCATAGTGGCCCAAATGTTCACCCACATACAAAAAAAACAAACAGGCAAACAAAATGTGCTATATACACACATGCAATATTATTTCACCTTAAAAAGGACATGAACCTAAGTAAAACATTGTTTTGTGGCAGACTTCTCCTGGGGAGACTCAGCATGTGTCACACACAGCTGCTCACCTCAGAGAGGGACCCCACATCAGACCAAAGGAACAATGGCGCCCATGCCCAACTTGGTGAAACCAATTCATTTTTCTGGAGTTACTTATAGAAATATGGATGACAGAAGAGCAGAAATTAAGCAAAGACAGCTGTATTACTGAAGCCCACCCAAGCATAGGTGACAGCTCATAAAACCTGGGAACCTGGAGCACATTGCACCAACAGGTTGGAGAGGGTCCTTTCCAAGTGACTCAGCTGGCCTAAGCCCCTTCCAGGAAATGTGGCTGGTTTCTGTGTCTTCCAGACAGCTGGTATGGTCTGGGTCTTCTTTGCAGCTTGAGTTGTCTGAGAGTGACTCTCTGTAGTCTTTACTGTTTACTCTTGGGGAGGGAGGGGCCCAGTGAGTCTGGTCAGTTTCTGGGACTTCTGGAAGCTATTTTGAGTGAATAAAAGCAAGTTGGGTAGGAAAGCATTTAATCCATTCTATACTTCCAGGTCACAATTCATCATTGAGAGAAGTCAAGTGTTGGCATGTCTCTGGAGCATTATTTTGATTAATAATTGATTTGGGAGGACCCAGCCCACTGTAGGTGGTACCATCCCTAAACTAGTGTCCTGAGCTGTATATAGCTAATCATGAGCTTGTGAACGAGCCAGCAAACAGCATTCAGCCATGGTTTCTGTTTTCAAATTCCTGACTTGAGTTCCTGTCCTAATTCCTGCCTTGACTTCTTTCAGTGATGAATTGTGTCCTGGAAGTGTAGAATTCATTAAACCCTTTCCTTCCCAAGTTGCTTGTAGTCATGGTGTTTATCACAGCATCACAAAACAAAATAGGATGATTAGTATTCAAAAATAAAATGAAAACAAAGCTATGGCTCATAAGGATCCGTCCGTCCTTGAGGAGTTACAGGTGATTAGTGGTTGCTGGGAGAAGGGAGTCATATTCGTCAGTGGTGTAGGCACTGGTAAGTTGTCTTTGCTCAAGCAGACAACCCCCTACCCATGCTCATGAACGCAACATTCATTAAATTCAGTGGGACACAGTGAAAAAAAAAAGATAAGAGGTGCTCAAGAGATGTTTTAGTGGTTAAAAGCATTTCCTGTTCTTCCTGCGAACCTCAGTTCAGTTCTCAGTACCAATGCCAGGTTGCTCAGTCTTAGTTAGAGTTCTTATTGCTGTGAATATATACCATGACCACAGCAACTCTTAAAAAGGAAAACAT